TGTGTAATGTTTTCTTCCCAATTAAATTCATTTTCTTTATCCGGCATGAAATATTTTTTATTATAAGTAATCAGAGGATTATACCCTACCAAGACACTCGAGAGACCAATAAAATTGTAAAGAAAAAAATTGTCTGCTTTGAAAAACATTGGTCTGGGAAGCTTTATGACCCTTTTATACTTTGCCAGCCAGAGATTTTGGCAGGTTTCCCATTAACTTATAGAGCCCAAGGCCAGTAGAGTCTGGAGTTGCCTTGATCTAATTACGGCAGGATTTAAATTTGTGCCCAATTAAAATGAACAGTGTTAAAGAGTGGCCTTCAGCTGCACTTGTAGTGGAACAGCATTTACCAGCAGTGTACCAAACCCCTCAGAGGGAAGCAGGCTTAGTCTCGTGTGAGTGTTCTTCTCTATTTCTAGGTAGGCTTATGCATAGTTCCTGTGTTTCCATTGTGAAAATGGGTTTGGATAATGGCAGCAGTACTTGTAGAAAGGCTAGGTTATAAAATTGAGCTATAATTTCAATTTTCCAGGTAGCTGTGGCCAAAGTAGACCTGATTTGTCTAGTTAAAATTGAGTAGACCGAGTAAAATTATCCCAGGAAAACAAATGAGCATCCTGTTTTGAAAAGACTTCCAAGGAAGAGAATCCATTCATCCACCTTTCTCCCTGTGTGCTGACACTGCCTTATATAAACAATCAATCTGACTTCTGTTCATTCATTAAATTTCTAATAAGACACTCAAAGCAGCAAAACATTTGTAACGTTAAAATACGTCCACTAAGGCTTATACTAGCATCACACTGTAGGTATTCAATAAATATTTCGAAACTAAAGGAAACATTAAATGAGTTCCTATTGCATAGAATTAGTCTCCACATACAGATAAATGCAGCTTAGCCTAGTTCACACATACTTCCTTGACCTAACCATTTTTTACATGATCTTGTACAAGTCTACTATATTAGAAGGTTATTATTTTCTTGTGGGTCACTGGTTATGAATTATTCTTCTCTCCCTAGCTCAACCTTGTAGAAATGTAAAACATTTTCATTAATTTAACAAATTAAATGTTTACCATATGCATATGGTGTGCTTGATTCTGGGGACAGATGATGAACAATATTGAAATGACCTTGCAAAAGACTGTAGGGATCATACAGTCTTATGGAATAACTTAACAGCTGTCAATGACAGATGAACTTAACAGATGAACTTAACAGCTGTCAATGACAGAACCCTGATAGCTGCCACACTGGGTGCCATGTTTGCATTTCAGACGCATGAAAGCTATGTGTCATCATCTCAGTTTTATAGATGGAAAAACTGAGGCTCTGAGCATAAATAGACTTTCTGAGATTTCACAGCTATTAAATACTAAAGCCTGTCTTTCAATCTTATTCTATCTCAATAGTTGCTCTTCAATGTTTTGATCCAGATGAAACAGCATAGTAACTATACATTGACCCTTGAACAAAACAGGCATTAGGGGTGCTGATGCCCCTCACACTGAAAATCTGTGTATAACTTTTGACTCCCTCAAAACTAACTACAGTTGTCTCTCAGTATCCTTGGGAGATTGCCTACAGGATACCCCACGGATAACAAAATCTGAGGATGTTCAAGTCTCTTGTACAAAATGGCATTAAATAATGCATACCGTCAGCGCTTCACATTTGCAAATTCCCAAACATGGATTAAAAATATGTAATTTTTGATTCATGGTTGATCGAATCTATGGATGCAGAACCTGCAGATACAATGGGCTGACCATATATTTATTGACAAGATCAACATTGAATTGGGCCTGCACAGTTCAAACCTGTGTTGTTCAAGTGTCAACTCTACGTTACTTAGCCACTCACAACCCCTAGTTTTATGTAGGTCATTTATATCTCTGGAATCCTATGTCTACTTTCTACAGTAAAAGCCATTGCACTTATATAAAGTAGGCTTTAGTTTCTGAAAGTTTCTCCCTTAAATTATTGTTTCCCCTTTACCATAGGACACAAACAAAAGAGGAGAGAAATAAAAAAAATTACCCTAAGGAGAAAATATATTTCCTGGTTTAACATTGAAAATATATTTCCTGGTTTAACATCTTGTCTTTGCAATAACTCAAAATATGATCTCAAAATGCAGCTCTAACCAAAACACTATTATTTTTATAGTGTTGTATTTCTGGCATTGGAATTTGCATGAAGTTTTATGTCACAGTCTTCTCAACAAAGAAATAACTATAACTAAAAGAGAGTAAGAATTTTCCAAGATAAAGATTTTTTAAAGCAATTAATATTTATTGATCTTCAGATATAATTTTGAATATATTTCTTTCCATCAAACAGTATTTTCTTCAATATTTAGTCAAGTTTATTTTCTCACTTAGTTAATAAACATATTTTCTCATCTGTCACATAAATATGTTTTTTTCGAAACATTTTTTCCCAAACAATATTATTACGTTGGTGATGCCATTTTAGGTTATGATTTACTGGAAGATTCATGGTCTCCTTGATAGTGATGAACTTAACAATGTATTCAACAGAAATTTAATAAATGATGTTTTCTATCAATGATTAAATAATAATTATGATTGTGATAGTTGATTTCATGTTTCCACTTAAGTAAGCCATAAGGTGCCCAGATATTTGGTTAAATATTATCTGGAGTGTTTCTGTGAGTTTGTTTTTAGATGAGATTAACATTTAAATCAGTGAAGTGAGTAAAATAGATTGCCCTCCCTAATATGAGTAGGCCTCACCTAATCAGTTGAAGGCTTGAATAGAACAAAAAGACCAACCCTTTCATGAGTAAGAGAGATTTCCTTTTGCCTGACTAGGACATCAACTTTTTTCCTGTCTTTGAACTTGAACTAAAATACTGGCTTTTCCTGGATCTTGAGCCTAATGTCTTTCAGACTGAAACAGCATCTGTTTTCCTGGTTCTCAGTCACTCAGAGTAAAAGAGATTCCTCCTGAATGACTGCCTTCGAACAGGGACATATGTGTTTTCATGCCTTTGGACTTGAGTTGAAACATAGGCTCTTCCTAGGTTTAAAGCCTGTTGGCTTTCAGACGGGGATTCCATCCTAGATCTCCTAGTTCTCAGGCCTTTGCTTTCAAACTGGAACTACACTATTTTATATAAAGAATGATTACAAGAAATTTGCTCTCATAATTATGGAGGTGGACAAGTCCTGGGTTCACTGATAGTGTAGCGCCAGTCTGAATACAAAGCTTGAGAACCAGGAGAACAGAGACCAAAAAGAGCAAATGTTTCATTTTGAGTCCAAAAGCAGGAATACACACACACACACACACACACACACACACACACAGACACATGCACACATGCGACTAATACAATAATAATGATGATGATGATAAACAAGTTAAAGGTGTCTTGGTGGTCATATGGTGGTAGTGACAGTAGTTAGTTTAACTCATTAGACAACTAGATTTTTAACCCAAACTTTCAATTTCTAAATCTTATGCTTTCTGGGAAGAAGAAACATATTTAATTTGATTGTTTTAACCATCTTTCATTCATTCAATCACATTTGTTGCTAATTTATTCTATAAAAGATATTTTTGCAAGATCTTAATATATAGGAATTTTTGCCTACGGGTAATATGTTCTTAACAAAAGTAAATAATACATTATATAAGAAATCAATATAAGTAACAGCTATATAAAAGATGAGTGAAAAAAAGCAGCGAGTGATTATACATGAAGAACCAGGAAAGTTCAATAGTGTGGACATTGTTTAGAAACTAATGGAGCGAGAGAATACTGAGTGAATATCGTAGGCTAATTGAAGAGGTATGAACATACCTGGAGAGCGTACCTAGGATACAGATTTCTCAGTACTCCAAATCCTATTAAGATGAGACTATAAAATTCTTATTGAAGTCTTCACAAGTTTATAATTTCTGAAATTGTGTTACAAATTAAAAGGTAATGCCAGTTCATTTTTACCATAGAAAATAAGAAGATTGTTGACTCAATTGTAACACATTTCATGATCACAGAAGGAGTGAGTGCTCTTTTTAAACTATCAAATATTTTTATCATCTATATAAAAAATTCAAGGAGATGTACTAGGTGTAGCCTTCATTTCAAGCTTGTATAGCCATCTGCCTGGTCAATACAAATAAAAATTGTACAATATCCATGTAATAGATTTATCTTTTGCCAAAATTTCCAGGGACTTTCCAAGTGACAAAACAAATTTTTTACTTATTGCCCTCTCGCAACTTATAACACACTATGAAGTAAATTGTATTCTAAGAGGCAATTTGATGTAGAACCTTCCAAAATCTCTGTGAGAAACTTCCTATTATTTTGGGTTTCTTCCATTTTTTAAAAAAACACTCACAAGCAAATGGTTTTTTGAGGTACACCTCTACCCTTGGAAAATTCTCTGCAAATTTGTAGACTTGATCATAATCTTTCGAATGTAGGTGTTATCACAATGATTGATTAAACTAATTTGATGTAGAATGCACCCTGATGGCAATTATTAAAGTCTCCCCCTATTTAATCCCAGTATTGTTAAATAAAGACACTTTAAACCATTAGATTTTAGGGACTTATTTTTAAAGGTTCAGAGAGTTCAAAACAGAACAGGACAGTCTTAACCCTCAAAGAATGAAGTGTCAGAGGCAAATAAAGAATTTGTTATTAGTATGTAGTATGGTAAATACTAAAATATAGATATGTAGAGTAAAAGCCACTGTACTTATATAAAGTACAGTGGTCTGTCAGACCAAAGAAAGTACAGGGAGAATGATCACTTTAAGCATGTTGGGAAGATGTGGAAGGCTTTATGAAGGATTAATGCAGGAGATAGACTCAAAATGAAGCAAGTAACAACATTCTAGGCAAGGACAGGAGAAGTTAAGTATATGAGCAAGGTTGGTACATCCAACATAACTGGTCTTCCCTTATAATGTCCTGGTGTGTCATTTTGGTCTTTTCCTTTTATTATCTCTTCACAGGTTCTCATGTGGCTATCACATATGGCACAAGAAGCATGCAGTAGAAGTTACTCAATGATGTACAACAAATTTGAAGAGTTTGTACACATCCAGTAAGTCAAATTTTCTCCATCATGTAGGCACATTGGAGGTTATCTATCAAGGCATTAAGACAGCTGGAAAGGACTGGTGATTGCGTGGTGTCACTTCCCTGCTGTTGAGATGACTGGTCCTCCTCTTTCACAGAAAGTCTTCTCCTCCTGATAATGTCTGAAATAGCACTGTCTTGATTTTGTTGTTGCTTATAACTTTTATTCATCTTGATATTAAAATACTTGTGAGATGGATTATAGATTCAGGCTATCTCTCATTCACATTGTAATATGAGTAATTTTAGATTCTTTTCTCTTAGCAGCTTTTGATAGGGAGAAGGGGTGAGAGCATGAGGATATGGATTATTTGAAGGAGGGAGAGTAGACGGCCATGGTAGGTGGATTTGACTCTGAGAATTGGGTCTGGGAATACTTCATTTTTGGATATAAAAGGCTCTCAATAATATTCGTTCAATGAATGAAAAAATAAATAAATAAAATCTTAATAATTTATGATTGTGTATGGATCTCTGTCCAATGACTAGAAATTATTCATTTTATTCTTCTCTTTGACAACAGCCAAATCTCAGTTGAAGGAAAGCAAGAGGAAAATTTATTTGTAGGAAAAGAAAAATTTCAAAATTCCATCTTGATTTTTATCTTGTTACAAGACAATGTTTTCAAAAAGCCTAAGAGAAAAGGCATTTAAAATATAATAAGAAAAGAGGGCATAGCATAAAAATTAATGGAGACAAGTAGAATGCTAGAGAAAAATGTTTCAAGGAAGGAATTGATTCCTAAGAAAAACTAAAATACAGAAGACAATGATAATGTTAAATAATTTAAGGGACTCCTGATTTAAGGTACAGAAGGCAGGGCATAGCAGAGATGTTATAAGAGAACTAATAACTGCATTGTGTCAGATGGGTACTAGACTTATCAGAGTGATCACTTTGTAAGGTATATAAATGTCTAATCACTATGTTGTGCAAATCACTATCTAATGCAAATTCACTGGCCCAGGATGAGGCTGTGGAAAGGGTACCCAGTAACATTTGAGTTTGGGATTCTTTATAATTAAGGCTTGGAGATTATAAGGAAGAAAAGCTAAAGTTAATGTTGCAAATAAACAATTAATATTACCTTATCTATAGAAAAGAAGATTATTATTTTTAGCATTAAAAACTTTAACAAAAGAAATAATGTCTCATAAGATTATGTGAAAAAAAAAATCCTAACTCCTCTCTGCCTGGGGCAAAGAACCAACCAACCTCCTCTGTGTTCTCAAAGCACTGTACTTCTAACAATGAGGCAGCAGCTACTCACCACATTTCAACTGGTTGTCTTCAATGGATCATGCTGAATTGATGTGAATACCATCTGCAGGGAAGGGTCAAGGTGATAGTTGTCATTTTGCTTCCAGTCCCAAGAATAGTGCATGGTCCAGAACAGACACTCAATGTTGAACTGAATTAAAGAGTGGAAGATGTAGTAGAAAAAGAAGCTGTGAAGAGAAAAAATTACTCTTCCTCTTTCCTCTCTCTTCAGATTCAGTTTCCTTCCAAAATGTGCTCAAAATCCTCTATCAACATCAAACTTTCTCTGTTTCTGCTCCCACACCAGGCTCCTCCTTTTCTCACCACAGTCATTGAAGGAAGAGCTACATTCACTGTCTCCATGTCTTCACTGAGTCAACCCTTGAATCCTTAAAATCTGATTTCTGCCCCAGGTTGCATCTGAAACATCCCTCTTGCTGCTCCTATCAAATCAGCTTTCCTATCCTCTATCTCTACCTTCTTCTCTGCAACCTTTTATGTTAATGATCACCATTATATTAATCTCCCTAAACATGCACTATCTGCACTATTGCTGTTCCTTCTTCTGTTTACTGTACTTTACTTCCCAGAGCTCTTTGTCTAGTCCTCATCTGCTCCATGTACTCCTATCACTCTCTGGGTAATCTCTTAATCTCAGAGTCAATTCCAACACCCAAATCTAACATAAACTCTAAGAATCCACTAGTTACAATTATTTTCAAAGTCTGATCATATATTTTTAACTTTTCCCTAAATATCTCTGCTTGGATATGCGCTTTCAATTTAATAATAATAATAATCATAATCTGATAGTTATTGAGAACTTCTAATATGTCAACTTGTAGTCTATGTGTATGACATAATTTTCTTTTGATCCTTAAAACAACTCTAGAAGGGAAGTATACCACTATCCTTATTTTACTCATGAGAAAACTGTGTCAGAGAGCAAATAAATAATTTTCCCAAGGTGACACAGATTAATGGTAGAGTTGGATTATAAACACAGAAAGTCTGAAATTCTCCCCTGAATTAATTGTTCAACTCTTTAACTGTTATTAAAATTCTATTTCCCTGATGTAGGATTTAACACATAGGCTAAATGTTTGACTATTTCCAATACCTTACTCTCCATTTCATATTACTTATAAGCATTTCCATTTTGTTTAAATGCATTTACCATAGGTTTCTGTCATTTCCTACTATTACCAGTGTAATATATGTCTTCCATGCCCATCTCTACTACTACTGCAGTAGCTTGCAAACTTACCTCCAACATCTTTCTCTAAGCTTTCCTACAAACTACCATCCTATATAAAGCTTCTAAAGCATCACTCATATTACACCCAATGAAAAAAGCCCCTTGTCCACTAAAGCCCTGATGCCTTATACTGGCATTCAAGATTATCTGTGAACTAAACTACTATTTCCTAGAGTCTCTACCAAATTATAACTCAGTTTGCCTTACTTCATGTAGTTCCCTCTATCTTGACTCATGTACTATCTTCCTGATTCATTCATTTATTTATTGCTTTGTTTATTTTTATTATCAAGCATTATGCTAAGGGATATAATAGAAAGATTTATAAGACATTGTCAAAATTCCATTCCAAAATTCTATTTATTCTTCTAGGTCTACCTCAAATTGTCACTTATTCAATAAGTAGTCCCTGATAACTCTAGTCAAAATCCTTAGAGGAATAAGTGAGGTGTTGAAGGTCAAGTTAGACAAATGTCAAGAAGAAAAAATGGAGCTATTTCTAATTCTAATGCCTTTAAAGATAGAAAGTGGGTGATATTTCAGTTGTCACTAGATCAGAGAAGATGATAGTCAATGAGAGGAAGAGTCTCAGAAGATTAGAGTAATTTCACCAGTGGGAACCTAGAGGGAGAAATTACTGTGAGGTGATTTCTTAAAACCAGATATGGAGAGTCAATATTGGGGAAAAATTAAAAATATTAATATGTAGATGTGGGGCTAAAGCGAAGGTATTCCACATTCCCATTGATTCGTTGATTCATCGGAAATCAAGATCCATGAAAGACTCATGTTAATATGAATTCAACTTTGTAGGTGCTGAAAGAGCCCCCCACCTCCCACTTCCTGGGAAGAAAGCTGAGGATGCAGCTGCTGCCAGGGGACACCCGGCTCCCACAGAGCATCTTCGTGAGTTCTCTCCAATAGGGACAGAGCAGAAGACATTAAGGAGAGCAGAATTCTGGACTTCAGTTTCCTTCACTTTAATATGAGGGAATTTATTTCATTTCTTGGACTTGAATTTATCTCTAGAAATTTAATAATTGGAGGTACCTATGTATACTATGAGTAAGGAAAACAAAAACTTGGAGTGTTTTGTGAAGCCCTTTATTCCTTGAGCTCCACAATCGCATAAGAATTGTCATAAGTTTCCCTCACTGTAGAATAGAAGTGAGTGGTGAGTAAAATTATAAGGTTTAACAATCTTGTTTCCATTCTCCATTTCCCATTCACTCTTTTAAGAAAGAAGATAAATAACTAAAAAGTTTGGCGATGTCCTGACATACATTGTTCCACATGTTTGTTTGTTTGTTGTGCCAAAGCCACACATAGTACTCATCCCTCATCTTCTAATGGAGGCGCTGTGCTTAATTCTTTACCTTTTACACCTGAAACTGGCAGGTAAGTTGTAGATGCCTTGGATGCATTTAGTTTGGAGTGGGAGACAAGAGCTCTGCAGAGCTCTTTAATCTGGCGGCCATGAAAGAATCTTGCTTTGGGAATTATTAGAAAAAAAATTCAGTTTAAATTGACTGTGGTCATAAGAGCACTGAACTGAGAGTCATGCAGCTGGGGGTCCATTATGGATTTTAGCGATGTTTCTGCTACAACTCATTTCATTTTCTTAGGCATGCCACACACTTCAAGTCTCATTTGTAGACTTGAGCTTATATCAGAATGTTTAGGTTTCCTCTAATGTATTCAACCAAAAATAATTTATTGAGAGTCTATTATATGCCAAGCTCTATGTTGGACACTAAGGAAACTGTTGTCACAATTGCTGATTGAACACAATAATCCAGTTCCCTCTTGGATAGAACAATCTAGTGGTGGTGTCAGGCATTAAAACAACTATAATTATAATTTTGAAGATGCCTTTTCATTGCAAACCTTTCTTTGTTGTTTTAACTTATTTTTAACCTATGTATGCAATTTTGAAAATAGGCCTTTGTAAGTTAGGCAACACAAGCCTAAACTATTCCTGACTTACTCCTTAGTACAGAGAATTTAAGCTCTTGAGAAGAGAGAAAAAAGTGGATTTAGCTACTAAGCCAAGGTCTGTGAACTTTAACATTTGTACTATAAACACTGTTTTCAGAGGTTATTGGATTAACTCAGCCCAATATTTCCTAGAATGGACATTTGTATCATCGTGTGTCGTATTAAGACTCGTCTGTTCCTGCTGCCCATTGCCTTTTCCACATGAAACATAACTGTTCTATCAGCACTCTGACGATGACAACTCTCAATTTTGTCTTTAAAAATCAATCTTTGGCATCTGTTTTATTCCAGTGGTCTTGACCTTGTTAGCAAATGTACAAAAATTGGATGGCACAAATTTATTCCAAACTTACTATTCAAAGTTGTCAGTTTTTTCCCCTGTAATCTAGAAATGTTGGGGGGGAAAATTCTACTGTTTTCTCTTTAATATCTATGGCAGCTTTATTTTCCTCACTCTTAAGTTCCAAAATATTAGGAAATGTTTTTCCTTAAGGGTTTCCCTTTATTTTCAGCTTTTTTTTTTTTGTAGCTGGATTTTGAAGAACATTGCTTATAGATTTAATGTACAAAATACCTTGTAAAGAGTTATGTGAAGTAAGCATAGCTTCTTTTCACTTGTACAGAAGGAGAAAAGGAACAAACGTGTAAGATAATTGTAACGGCAATTGAACCAAATTCTTCCAAGGACTTTTTGATGCCTCTGTGGCTCTTACTTGAATTTTCTGCATCTAGAAGATTCCAGAAGTGCCCAGATAAACCCTTGCATGTAGCTGGACATTATGTCGAATGTGATAAACCAAGAATTCAAGTGTTTTCTTCCCAGTAGACCAATTAGCTGGGAAAGAAAATATTTTTAGTGGACAAAGATACCTACCTAGTTTGTTTAATATACATTCACCCCAAATGGACTTAACAGTGTATCCATATCATTGTACTATTGTGTTAAAGAGTGTAACCCTAGTAAATGGAGAATATCCAAATAAGTCAGCCATTGCAGAAAGTTTTTTAAAGACATAGAATTTAATAGTTATAAGTGGCTTTAAAACAATCTCATTTTAGATATTTGTCTTACAAAGTACCATAAAGTAGATCTATTTTGCAATCGTCAGTAACACCTATCACAAGTCCGTACACTGAGCTTCAGTACTCTTGTGCTTTTCTGGTGCTCTGTATTCTTTGGGGAGCTAAAACGTTTTCTCCTGGACCAGTTTCTCACCTTGCTTCCCTCTTACTACTTCTAGGGCATTAATCATCTTTACTTCTTCCAAATAGAAAAACACTCT